GAGATTTTTTGGAGAGATAGCCCTCTCACAAACAAATGTATAAGGCATATCTTGAAATGAGTGTACATTATTCTGGCAACACCTTTTGTCATGTAGTTAGCTATATAGAAAATACCACCCTTAGGGTAACTATAGAAACAGCAAACACCGGAAACAGTCGACCCGAATGCTTTTTTGTTCGGATTTATCCTATAGACGAAACTTCAAAAAATAGATTACCGCCTAGCGGGGGTCTCGGTGACTCGCAATTTAGTGACCAGTGGCGCTGTCTTCTACTGGTTCTAAATTGGCTTGTTGGATATTTCATTGTCAGGTGTTTCTACGGGAGATCTTTTGGTGAATTCGACATTTACGATTCGTTAGGAACGAAATTTGTATTTGTTATAAAGGACGTACTTGGTGTGGTTTCAGTCAACCTGCAGAGTCAGACGAATAGGTAAAGACGGAATCGGATCTTCATTTCCGGACAGCTGCTAAGCAGCCCTCATTTGTGAAAGAAATTAACCAGTAATTAAGGAAAGACGAAACAAATACACCTCGTAGACGTGCCGAACCTTCTTGGCTGACTAGCCTGATCAAAATTTAATACCGGTACTAATGGCAATATACATCACCATTCCAATGTCTAGAATATTGTAGAAAGCCCTAATTGGAGACCGAGAACATTAACCTGGGGCAAGTGTGTCCGGTGGTGGAGATCTACGTCCAAGTTGAACTGTCTTTGAAATACGAGGAAATGTCAACGGGCACACGGAATTGAAGGCCATGTCCGAGCAAATGAGAGTTTACTGGTATCAGGATTGGTCACTCCGGGAGAAGTTAAATTCATTACTAGCGATGATTCAGCCGTAACAGTCTTTACAGAAGTCTTTATTAGATTACATTGGCACTAAAGGAATCCCGTTGTTCGAATACAATGATAATTCATTAGATTTATTGAAAGGCGAGGTCATGACCAAATTGTTAACATTTTCGTATAAAATGTAAGATTATTTTAGAACGTGTGAAAAGATATAGACTTTTACTTGCGTCAATGCATATAGTGCGATAAACACTTTTTGTAACAAACGGTCTTCAACGGTTAGCAAAGATTGCAAGAGATATGTTCATCACTAGCCAACAAGACCTGCAGTTGCAGTAGGTGGCTTATCGTTTTACTGTTGGCTGCAATTATTTGAGTGACTGTTGTTTCACAAAAGTTTTTTCTTTTATAATTAATCCTAAAACTAAAAAAAAAAATGAAAAAAAATGTACAATTAAGGTGGCATTGACTACAGTCTGTTATCGTGTATGATATGAAGATCGATGGTTTTGAGTATGCTCATTAGCGTGTCTTGTTATTTCGCTGTCACCTTTCAGGTTACATGTTTCTCTTCCTAAGATGTAGTCTGATGAACTCAATAGACAAGTTTTATGGTTGCCATTATGATCTCATTAGGAAATGTGTTATTTGTCTGTGTGATTTAAAGGCCAATGTTTCTTATATCATGCTCATTAATGTATCTTATTGCTTTGTTTGTTGTCACTACCAAAGTGGTTCTCGCTGTCAGGATTTTAACTAGATTTACATTGCGATAGTCGTCAATGACGCTTACCCTTCCGAATCACCTGGTCTTATTCTCCTTGCACTTTTTTCAATGGTCCCCGTATAAATCTTTCCTTTGGTTGTATTAAGCACTAATTTATTGCCTTTGAGTTGGAACTACGGTTTCCTTTTAAACTGATCGCTATTCTCGTGCTCTATGTTTATATATGGTGATGTGAGATTCAAATATTCAAATGATAATGAAAGGTAAAAATATTTCCTAATCGTTCTTGAAAGGGTATCTAAAAAAAGGTTTTGTTTTTTTAATTATGTTCTTTGAATACTCTTCGCAGTAGAGAAAGAATTTTTTTTAACAAAACTTAAACAAAACCGTACTTCGAACTCGAAATCGACAAAATTAAGACATAATATGAAAAAGGTAAGATATAAACGAATACTCTGGAAAATGTAATGAGAATAAGACCAAGGGTCAGCGTCCTCTACTTCAATGCTGGCGTCGACATAATCTATGTCAATTAGTAGAAATGTCTCATTCTATTTGGGGTAGTAATAACAAAACAACACGTAGGCATACTAATGACTATAATAAAAAAAACACTGGACATATAGCATATTTTCAAGTGAGTCATGATGGCGACCATGTAACTTACCCAAAGCCTTCATCCACCTGCATCTTTGAAAATCCTGTGTTGTATGTTTATCTGTCAGCAGGCGACGTCTATAACGGGAGACATATTAGGTGCTAGCTCTTTTATAATCAAGAAGATCGATGTTTATAACGATATTCATGAAGTCTTGTTCTAATCTGTCTTACTAAGGTCAATTGAAACATTGATTATTTTTTAAATTACTTATTTTGGACACGTAGTGCTATCAATAATCTTGCACCTTTATGGAGCTTGTTAAAAGGTACTTCATTAAATTGAAAAAGAGCAGATTGATGAAAGAATTAACGCGTCCTCCGTCGATTTTGTATTATAATTATCAATATGACCATCAAACCACATGTCAGATTCATAACAAATTGTTAAAAATGTTCACTGATTTTATACCGACATGTTCCGTTGGAGAGCTTTGTTGTTAGCTATCTCGGTTTTTAACATGTTTCTCTTTCACATTGAGAAAAAAACATTTTAAACATTATTTCATTAAAGTATAAAAGGATTACATCAAACCTGTTTTATGTTTCTTATCAAGTGATATTTGTTGGATCACTCCCTGCATTTGTGTTAAGGTCCGCCTCCTATCTGTGTTCTGTTTGTGCTGATAACAGGAAGATACCGCGCATCTGATAACAATGACGTAATCCCATTGGTTAACACATACAACGCGGTGACGTGACACAGTCGAATACCCTTTTATTAGTACTGCCATACTAATAATAATAATACGCTGCATTCATGCTTAATCAAGATACAATTCCGTATGTTGGTTATGACTTCACAGTTAAATGATGATGCAATAAGTAGCATTCAGTCGTGAGAACCTGCCCCCGAAAGAACAATGTCAATATATGTCGATGCTAATTGTGAACATTCGTTTTGCAATTGTTTTTAGAAATAGCTTAAACAATGTTTTACTGACTGGATAAAATATTGAATATATTTGTGATGTAAGTTTCTGGTTTAGGACTCTTCTTACCCCTTATAACCATAAAACATCAGATTAGAAACTGTTGTGCTGAGGATAGTAACACCGATTTTATCCTACTACATGTATTTACACGCAAGTATATTCAAATGCGAATGGGGTAAAAACACATATTCTTGTATATATGTACGATTACATAAACGAAAAATATTGAATGTACATTTTTTTTTTTTTTTAGAAAACTAACATTTGCTGATCTGTCACGAGAGACCATTCTTAATGTTTGCTGTCATCGCATCGGTCTTGGCATCGAATATGGTTTCTGTGCTGACCCGCCTATTGTGTCTGTACTGACCGATGCACTGGTAGCAATCTTTAACGCTTTCGGTGCAGACGTACTGAGGAGCTTCTGTTGCTAGGTTGATGCATCACGTTACCGCTGAAAGTTAGTTAAATAGTTAATAAATCAATTTATTTTTCTAATTATCACAGCAAGGTGAATCAGTGTGATTGATCAGTCAGTTAACATGTTTAATCCCTAAAAAACATTCTTTCAGATATTCATTCTTGTTTAAATACACTAGTTTTGTTAGCAATACAGCAAAAAAGTCATTGTGCTAAGCAAAACATGATAACTTGAGTATGTTTGTTTAAGGTTTAACGTCCTCGTTACGGCAAAGGTCTTATAACGTTGGGTCCTTAGTGAGACACCGCCGGAAAGAAAAAGTAAGGAAATGAGAGTAGCATGGATACATGGTATATTTAAATCGTTGTTGATCCAATTACTTCGTAGTCGAAAATCTACTTTTTGGTTTTTAACTTTTAAAGATTTCCGCGCTGCGACGGTTTTAGATAGGAAATGTCATTATTGCTTTCGTTTGATGCCTTGCACGCAAAAACGTCTTTATAAGAAACCACAAGAGGTCAATGATCACTACATGGTTTGATATTCCTAAGACATTGCCTCGCACGGAAAAACTATTTACAGAAACACATATGTATTAAGTGTATTGTATTTTATTCATTTGGTGGTGGTTTTTTTTAACTTTGACTACACAAGAAATCTATAATCACAATCTTTGTGACATCGTTGGTGCTTGACGTCATACTATTTTTTGGGGCCGAGCAAAGCGAGAATTTGTATAGAAGCTTCTAGATTCTTTCAAGTAACATGAACGTTATGACTTCTGAATTAACGAAACAATCCAAGAGGGACTAATCCTTGAGGAATACAAGAAAATATATAGAAAGTAACTGTAAGAAGGAAAGAAAACAAGAGGCCCATCGCTCACCTGAATATGTTTAAAAGGTTTTACTTCTATTTCCCCTATTGGGCCCCAACCCTAAGGTCCCACACCCACTGTTTATACAAAATTGGCTCCTCTTCACCAAGGGATACTTCAGACCAAATATGAAACAAATCCTTTAATTCCTACAGAATAAGAAGGATTTTAAAGAATTTGCTATATTTCCCCTATTGGGCCCCGCCCCTCAGTCCCAAGGGGGACCAGACCCACTGTTTATACAAAATTGGTTCCCCTTCACCAAAGAATGCTTCAGACCAAATATGGAACAAATCCTTTCATTCCTACAGAAGAAGAAGGATTTTAAAGGTTTTACCTCTATTTCCCCTATTTGGCCCCGTCCCTCTGCCCCCTGGGGGGCCAGACCCATCATTGTTAAAAAATTGAGTCCTCTTGGCCTAAGGATGCTCCAGATCAAATTTAGTCAAAATCTACCCGGCCGTTCAGGACACGTAGCGTTTTAAAGGAAAAGTTGATGGACGGACGGACGGACGGACGACGGACGCCGCACCATAAAAAGGTGGTTTTACAGTAAATAATGACATAAAGACGTGCTTCCATATATTTTGTTCCTTTTATTAGTAATCAATAGAAATACATCACATCTGAAAATATAACAATGATATATCGACAGAAGATGATTTTTTCAGTATACGACATTGTCTAACCGTCTGATTAGCTATCTTTATAGAAAAACAAACTATTTGTTTTACTACAACGATCTATCCCTTGGTTAACAGGAAGTTGATCATTCGCCATATTTGTTTACAACAAGGTCGCCTATCCTGTCAGCGGTTGTATCCAGTGCCTGTTTCACATGTACCTGTCAACACGCGACTGACGAATTTTTTGTAAGCTGAAAACAATAAGGAGAATGGTTTGTTAAGTTCTTGTTTAGTAGGGTGGTGGGGTGTCTGAAAGAAATAAGTCTGTTGGAAACGTCCCGCAATGGTTCATACAATGCAATATCAGCTCTAAACTAATCATCCTCCAATAAAATTTCTCAACTCAATATATTTCAAAGTGGTTTTTAAGTTCAAATAAAATTAAGTAATGGTGATCTCATACATAATCTCTGAATAAACTAATCACAATAATCGCTCTCAAAGTAATAAGTATAATAGAACAAAAATCAAAACTGCAAAAGGAACAATATGCAAAGTTTGTTCGACAGACAATTTGAATAGGTAAAAGCGCGGGTGGCTTTTAATTTCATAATGTGCTACCTTATACCTATGCACGAGATTCGTGGTAGTCTTGACCCTTAAAAATATATGAAAAAGGAAAGCTATTCGATAACATTAAATATGAAAGCATTATTTCTTTTGGCATTATTTCAATTAACCCTGCGATTTAATGTGGATTGACTGTCAATACTGAGGAAATAGTTGATCAAGAAAAACTCAATATTGATAGTTCCGAATAAACAAAAAATGAAAATAAACAATCATTCTGATTTGCTGATATAATCAAACAATATTAAGACAGTTTTAAAAGTTGAGAAATACGATCGCCTTAAAGTATGTTCTAAGAGAGAGTGTTAATATATATCTTTAACAGGATCAGTGCTGACTTATTAATCAAGCAAATCAAGGTTTTTTTTCTCCATCATACGCAACATAAATTACTCAAAATTAGTTACTACTGTTTGAATACGATGAACCATTTGCTCGTTTCACTAAATGCTTAAAGTGTGAAAAAGTACAAAATCAACATTTTTGTTCTTGCTTGGAAGAAAAAGGCGATAAACAGAGAGCAAAATGATACTAAAATTGGAATGTATTTGACAAGTGTTATGGACGAGGTAACGAGCCTCATCAAGAACACAAAAAAAGCTATTTAATTCTCTACATATACATTTTTCGTTTATGTGGCCATGTGAATTTATAGTAGAAATTCCAAAAATATGAAATAAAATAAGATGTTTAAAACGATAAACTCGTCTGAATATCAGAATATTTAACCGTAGCTTCGACCACTTTTGAAAATGTGGTAACTACCACAAATACGTATACTGATCATATAATGCACTTTAGATATACATTAATCATAAATTATTTCATATATTCCTATTTAACAGCCTTTAATAAAAAATAAAAAATAAAATGAAAAATATGATGGCGACATTAGTTACAGCTTTTATTGTTTTTTTGATATATACAAGGACAACTTGTATCAATCAGATCAGCCTAAAAAATGTCACAATAATACTTTTTTCCCTCTTCCCAAACAGACTTGCCAATTTTTTTTTAATTGAAATTTAGCCAGCCATTTAACAAACTTTTGTACAAGTTCAACAAAACTGTTCACAAAGATATATTAAAATGTGAACGTCTCCTGTGCAGAATTTTGCAAAAGTCGCCGTTTTCGCGGACACTCGCAGATTTGCAAACAATGTCAATTTTGCTTGGTTTCTTTTTCAGATCAACAGATCATTGGACAAAAGTGCTGCGGTAATGATACATTATTTTGCTATTTATTTCGCATGATATATTTTTACACTAAAATCGCAAAGATTATATTCACACGTAAAAAATCTGTTTTTACAGCATTTGGAAATGTACATATACATAAATTAATAGTACCGAACGTTTACACTTCAAAAATGGACAACACAAATATGTTTTAACAATATGCACCGCTATAAGACAATAAATAACATTTCTGGTTCTATGGCTAACACTAATATATCATTTTCTCAATAAAATAGTCTTTGCACACCCACTGCAATTACTCGCTCGTCACAATTAGAATTAACGTTCAGACAAATCCATGCTACTGCTAATGTATAGAGCAATCTTAAATTATATAACATCTCTCCCAAACAACACACATTATACTTACATGTATTCATATTATTTTTTAACATATGATACACTAAATATATATTATTTTCAAGAGTGATAGTATTTACATATCAAGATCTCCAAAAAATATGTACAGTTAATTTAAATATATATATTATAACATGTAATAATACGTGTGAATGTCCCGCACAAACGAAACAATTTAAAAATTTCAAATAAAACAACAATATATCATAACCATTAGTGTAACCTGGTGTGGATTTATAAAAGCAAGTAATTTTCACATGGAGTGAATTCTTGATCTGTATATCTCATACTCTTTGCAATTTACCCATTGTTAACGATAAATTTCAAACCATTGATAATACAAACAAACCTTCTGATGGCGATTCTAGTCATATCTAAATATAATGAACTGGCCCTAAAAATAAGGAATCTTCCCAGCAAATACATTATATTCATCTATATACCTGCACAATAGATCATAGAAAGAAAAGTAATGTTGGTGCTACCACAGACATTTATTTTTGATACACAAATTTTCATTGGGAATTTTATTTCGACCAGAAGAAGAGGATCAATATGTACTGAAAATTGTCAAGTTGGACTCAAAAATCGTTTTAATCGACAAAGTGTTCACTCACAAAAGAGTATGTAAGTATTTATAGAGGTTGATTTTTTTCCAGTGGGATATCGGTTTTTTTTTAATGTTGCGGCCAGTTCACGATTACACTTTATTGAAGACTTAATGTCATTCAATGTAGCACATGAATCACCTGAGACAATCAGTTTTATTTGAAGACATTTTTCAAGCACAACTTCCGTATTAATTATATATATACTTGCTAGATACGGTTTAATTACCATTTGGTTTGTTATTATACATATGAATTTTATACAGTATTCACAATCAAACTTTAACCTACAAAACACTTTAAAAGTTAATTAAAACATGCTTGTAGTCAGAATAACTATTCACATCTACCATTCCAATATCGAACTCTTATACCTTTTGATATTTAAGTCCTCTCTAGCTATAGTAATAATTGTAGACAGTGTTGATTCTACTTCTAAAATTAAGCTCAATACTTTACTCTCACTAAGGCAAAATACACGTCTAGTTGTCTTACCAAACGAGCTAGCGGTCACAAAAATGATTACACATGTAAGCACTCACTTGGTGCATCATGTAGACTTGCCATTGAGACAAGTTGACCTAAACATTATCAGCAGTTCTGTCCACATTTTCTACATTCAAGTGAACTTCCTTCAACCGTGAAGCAAGTAAAATATTTCGAGTTGATATTTTATGATGGAACAAATTTTCAATTACGCAAGCAACTGAAAGAGGACGTACATATGCCGATGTTTCAGTATGCTATTAGTATGTATTATTGCTGTAATCACACAAAATTAAGCCGTATTATAATTTTAACGATTTTTGTGCTATAAACGTTGGGCTAATTTCTGATTGCGCCATCAAATTGTTTTGGTATAGTAGTTAGTCCGCCAGGCTAATAGGCTACATTGTAAATATTCGATAATACGCTAAAATTGGTGTCCGCTAGAATAAGCACTCTTACAGTGTTATAAACTGTGACACTTAACAGCGCGATACAAAGAAAATCCCAGTCGACATTCATAGTCTATCTGGCTACGTTTTACCAACACTTCGGCCTTAATAAGGACTCCAGCTTAACTTTAAAAGAAAGACTTCAACTCAAAATCGCTAAGATAAGCCTGACTCCATCTAATAAAACCAAAACGTTTTCCACTACATACAGTTACAATTATCAATACATATATTTGGCTACTTTTACCAACACTTCAATCTCTAACTGGACATTAAAAGAAAGTTTTCAACTGAAAATCGATAAGCTGAGCCTCACTCAATATGATAAAACATAAAGATGTTCCACTACATGCGGTATCAATTATCAATACATATATATACACACCTAAGTCAGTGCTACTTAATGAAGACAGACTGTTCCCAAGATTTTGATGGATGAAAAATGCCATAAAGTCAACTATATAATTACTGGCTTTGTATTGAATGCCTCCCCGATTGGTTTGCTATATCGGCTCTGCATTGCTGTCGGTACAAAAGAGCTATGCTTTCAAGAACGATCCCATAAAATGGATGAAGAGTACAGCAAAACTTTGCAGTGTCAATACAATTAGGAGTCTCTTTTCCAGTGAAGTGTGTATGGCTGCCGGTACGGTGACAGCCGCGATCAAAGATTAATTAAGTGTATAATCATGGAATGACATGTGCAAATAAATGCTTGTGATTAAGGCCAGTTTAGACCTCACGACGACACACACCAACGCAGGCATCGAAATATGCCAAGAAATGCCAACACGTTTTTACTTTCTACCAGAAAAACATTCACATTAAATCAAACATAGCTTGGAGATGCTGTCACTTTTTAAGACTGAACATTGAACTTTTCAATTAAGAAAATGTTTGCTATATATACATGTGTGTGTGTGTTTATGTACAGAAAGCAATATCGGTATGAACCTGGAATAATCATCCCTAATTTAAGATCCTCAAACAGTCAATAATTCGCTGGAGCCTTCCACAGCAGAGTCTGGAATCTGCATGTCAAAGTCAGTTACAGCCTCACAGCACAAACCTAATAAACCAAGGAAGGGCAACGAGGTGACAATTGGGGAGGTATACACAGAACATATCAAAACTCATCTAGACCGTGTGCATGTTTATATCACATTTCCATACTGTAACCGACTAGTACGTTTACTTTGTCATTAGTCTGATGTATTACGTTACTATTCTCTTCAAATCTTGAAATACATTAAGTAGTGTTATGATGGGACTAATACTTTTAGGACCCACGTATACTAAATAATATCTATTTTGTCCACTCCACATCAAATACATCATCTAAATCGCATGCACCTCTTTTGTATGTACAATCTATTTTCTACAAAATATAATATCTGATAATATGTTTTTAACATAACTAATAGTATATCTTTTATATCCTTTATAAATGAAGTAATTTAATTTAAACCGGGACGGTTTTGTATTGTCACTTTCGTACAGTATATGATTACATTTAATTTGTTTTACACGTAATATTTATAACAGGGTCGTATATCATCTTCATTGAAATAAAACCGAAGCAACATAAAATGTCTTCGTAGTCTCACTCAATAGTCATTAGAGTGACATATGACGGCGACTTGAGGCTACAGTAGGCGTCATTGAAATACGGAAGCAGGTCGTATGGATATATGGGATGGGACTGTATCCAGGAAAACAAAATTGGATCCAGTATTTTAAATTGTTGGACTGTTATTTACAATTGAATAGCAATCCCTTCCTGTTATTTAAAATCATCACACTCAAATACTTGTAATTGATATTATAATGTGGATAACGGTTTCCATATTACGTCAAAACCTTTTTCGTCGTAATTATCAGAACTTAAGACATTATAAGATTTTTTTTAGTTCAACATTACCTGTAGAAGTGTGGGAAAAACCTGCAAGCCTTAACTGTCTTCTGGGATTCGTGAATATCTAAAACCATCTTTATATTACTGTTATAATGAGTCCGATAAAAGACAGGAACAAACGAGTTTATCTGTTACGGTGATGACATTGTACTTCAATTCTCAATCTTATAACGATCTGTACGGCGTATGGGTCTCTTATTTTAGATTCTACCCATTGTATCAGTTACCGCGGACACCTTCACACAGATTACGTGTGTGAGGTTCGTGACAGCGCCTCCTAGCAGCTCGAATACACATCAAGTTACCATATCGTGTGTGGCAACTTGGTGATTAAAGCCAACGCAAACAGGAAAGTTTGAATTTAATTATTTTATCTGCCTACTCGACACCCTGGGTAATTATTTTTCATCGCCAGATCATCTCTTACAACAGGCTTCCGAAAGGTGCTTCATTTCACGTGGAGTAACATTTAGATGTGACAAGTATGACAATCCATCCAGCAAAACTTTATACATTTTTTTTTTTAGATTATCATAAAAGTTAACAAAAATTGTGGTTATGCATGCTTTGCAAATGAAACACATTTCAAATGTACTCAAATGCTAACTTAATTACTACGGTAAACTGCAAATGACAATTTGAATCAAACTGAAATAGTCTTTGATGATACGTGTTTGTGGAGGATGGGGATTTGGTTAACTGATTCTGAGAAGACCCAAGCTTGTTGCTATGGGTTCCAATACAATTTGTAACCCACAACAATCGATGTGTACATGCAGGCATAGTATGAACTCCTCTTGCTGGTAATTACCCCAAGGATGAAAAACTCCACAAGCTTTTGTATACAGATAAGATTCTTTGGCTTGGATTACTTTTGCAGTAAAACCTGATGTATGACCACCTCCATTAAAAGACCGCCTGTGTTAAGAGGCCACTCTTTGTTTAATCTTTCTCATTGCGGAGAATTTATTTTCAACTTAATCTCTATTGAGAGACAAGAATTTTATGCATATTTAATTTCACAAACTTACTTTTCTCTTCTAGACCACTAAAAATATATTTCAAATTCAATAATTCTTTCTTAGTGTATGTACATTTTACGTATGATACAATTTTCAAATAATTTCTGGTAAATGTTTCATGCAAACTGAAGTGGACATATAAATATACAAAATATTCTGCGATAATTTGTTCAATTAAAGATTTTGATCATCTGCAATACCAATCATTACGAAATGTTTGTGGAACAAAGCCAGTCTTTTCACAATAACGAACAAAGCCAGTCTTTTCACAATAACATTGGTGATGTCAAAAAAGTGTGTCACTTGACCGTCCTCGATAGTCCAAAAGTAACGCTCTCTTACGCATCCCTGGAACATGTCATGAAAGAATTGAAGGCTCAGTGTGCGCCACCTTATTGATGAGACAAGATGTCTAGTTTGATCCTTTGATATTCATCAAAGAATCTTGGGGCGCGTAATGCTAAATTTGACTGGCTTTGAAGTCTGGTGTCGCTCCTCCGTAATCTTCAAAAGACAGGTGTCGGCCTATAATTGTTAAGATTTTTTTACCCGAGATCAATCGAATAGCTGGCCGTGTGCCTTCCATTTTGCTGGGACATGTTCCAGGACTACAGAGAGCTTCAGTGAACGTAACACCTGAAGTATCGAGGATATCACCTGACTAAATGGCATTAAGACTCACTCTCACATTATTTATAACATTTGAATGCAGTGCAATGGGAACGTGCAACATATGTAAATATAAAGCTGTCGACAGTGTTTAAAACCCTGTGTGGTTGTAGTACAGGTGTGTAGTGGCGTTTTGTTTTAATATTACCTCCAGTAAACAGAAAATCTAGGCAATTTTCTTTAAACACATACATTCACAACTCTTTTCTACCCGACCCCTTTTCTGTATAAATCTTGTCACAAGGGTCGAGCTTTCTTTGTCTACTTGACGACACAATGGTGACAAAAAAAATCTGTTAGCCCAGAGCAGAGCAAGACTTCAAACTAACATTTGACAATACCATTATATGTTAAAACCAAAAAGCACTACTGTCTAGGATACTTCTGGTTTTCCAAACTAGTGAAAAGGAAAGCAATCATTCACCAGACGTGACCGACATCAAGCTATATATTAGACCGACATGATAGCAAGCTATATATATATGATGAGTTTGTGCTCTTATTCAAGGAATCAAAACCTTTCAAAACGTAACATTTTCAAATTTGTGTATACATAAAAATAACCAAAAACTTGGTGGACCTATTCAGTCACACAGTGGACAAGTCAATAATTTTTGTGACTTATTAAATTATGAAACAAGCCATTTGGATTGATATGTCTCGCATGTGCCCTGCTTTGACCATCAATGCACGTTTTAGAGAAACTAACTTGAACGCAAGAACTTAATGCTGATGGAGATGCTGACAAAGTCAATGAACCATGAAAGATAGGCCACATCCGGCATTTGATGGATGGGTTGAAGTGTAATACCTATGATGCATCTATGGTCCAAGTTTGGTTGGTGTAGCACTTATACTTTCAGTGAAACTAACTAAAACGCAAAAACTTAATGTTGACGCCATCAAAATTCATTTTTTTTGTATTGATTGAAATTCAAAGTGATTGACTTTTAATAAACGCATTCGAATTCGTACAAGTGAATGCGTGTCTCCCTGTTAAAGAGCCTCACATTCTGCTGCTATACGGAGTACAAATAGGACTGAGAATATGTAAACTTGGGGGAGTCGAAGGGAGAGAACCACTTCCAGCTAAACGGATGTCCAAACACTGTTTTTATGCTGATCCATTTGGACTTTTGTTCCCACGTTGCTTGTTCCTTCTTCAGATGTTCAATACCCTGAAACAGACAAGATTCATCATCATAATCCCGGGTGTATAAAAAGATAAAAATCTCTCCGCAGATTTCCAAGGAAGTTCTTGGAAATCTGTTGATTTAAAAAATTCTGCGGATTTTCTCTGCATGTATTCTTCCACATCTGTGGATTTTTCTGCGGAAAAACCATGGAATTCTGTGGAAAGTTTCGACCTAAATTAATTTTTCAGATTTTCTTCAGCATATTTTTTATTTATTTTTAATTTTTAACACAAACAGTCACAACAATGTTCGTAACAAAATTGTTACTGTACCACCATGATCAAATTATTTAGTTCAAATACAGTATTCAATTATTGTATTTGCCTGTATGAACAAGCCATTCTGATTTCATTGATATTTCCCGCTTTGACCATTCATCAATGCACATATCGGTGAGAAATAAACTCAATGTAGACAACATTTGAAATGATCTGAAGTTTTGTTGATCTAGCACTTCTGCTTTTAGTGAAACTAAGTTAAACGCAAAAACTAAATGTTGATGGAGCATAGTCAATGGACCGTGAATCGAAAGGTAGGCCGCATCCAGCATTTGCTGCATGGGTTGAGATGTACTACCTAGGATGATAACATCTATGGTCTATGTTTGATTGGTCTCTACTCATACCTTCGGTGAAAATTGATGCCACCGCCATTACCAGTAAAACAACACGTTAGTTTTGCTTTGGATACTTCGTGGTGGCGAGACAAAAACTACAATGTTTGCCTGCAGTGAGACAGGAATCCATACGTGCCCATTCAAGGAAAATATTGTAAAGAGATCACAGGACTAATTTTCAAATTGTGTCTATTTAGTAACAGAACATAACCAGCATATTACTCTATTGCCTTTCATCCAACAATATTACGTTAATTTTATTTGGCTCGATTAAAAGACCAAATTTTGTTATGTATTCTTTACCTAGCTACATGGCAGATTTTTACATTCAGATTTTATCTTGTTTTCCTTTAGGAATAAGTTTTGGTTCTGTAGTCTGTATGTAGATTTAATGCATTCAGTTAACTGCAGAATGTTCCTTTTGAGTCTGACTGCAGTATTGAGATTTATCTGTTCGTACTAAAATTCAAGGACAGTTCGATTTTCTACAAATCTAAATTACATAATCTCTATTGAATTTTTTTAAATGGTTCCCAGAATAAATTTATCAATTTTAACGAGAAATTAAAGACCAAATCCTTCGAAATGCTGCCGCCAACAAAAACAGGTAATCTTTTGGTTATTGAATTTTCATTGGCAATTCTTTTTCTGACAAAAATTCAACGTTTCCTAATTAGATTTCCATTTCCGTGATTAACCTTGATCTTACCCTCATCAACCACAAATTCAATGGACACAACCCTGTTAAACTTAACTTTGTTAAACTAATTTTCAATTGTTATATTTTTCCAGCTTATCTTAAACACTATACATATATAATACACGATGTTATCCCACTTACTGCTTGAACTTTTAATCCTTCAAAAACAACAGGATTACACGCCATGTACGTTTGTGCGGAATGACACTAACCCTATCTATATATTGACAAAATGTTTTTAGTATAATGTGCCGTGGATTATGATCATGTTAAATTGAGTTCTGACTTACATAAATTACCCACAATCAATTTTTTTCTGACTGAGACACTTCCTGACAATATTAATTTTAAAGAATTTTGCCAAATTTAATAACAGCCAATGAAAAAATTGGAAGGATTCAAAATCCAGCTGATAATGTTAATTTTGCATCACTAGATTGGATTGTAATATTGTACAGCTAACTGCTTATTGTACTTACAAGTTGGAATCTGGTGGTTTTTTTTGTGTTTTGACTAATCAACCTTCTTATTCCATAGAAATCTTTCATGACACAAGTCTTATCTCAAGAAGTATTTTATTATCATGTTTTACCTATCAGCGCATTCTGCCCCTATAAGCACAATCCCACCTTTTCCAAGGAAAGAAGAGGATGGGTGTGCTTAATTAAAAACAAAAAAACCTTGGCTGTAAATAGTCAAATTGTTGACCCCCCCCCCCAAAAAAAAAAAAAAAAAAAAAAAAAAAAATTTGNTAAATCTTGGTTTCAGGATGATTCAAAAGGTATACATAAATCATGAAATTTAACAATTAGTTTTAGAATATTATTGCAACAATCAATTAAAAGTCAGTGATGAAAATAACACTAACTGAATGGAAAAGCTGTTGTATATACATGTATAATGCACGTCTTTATATCTCCCTTCCCACGCTAGCTAGCAAAAGTATTAACCCTTTCACCACTGTAGACCACAATGGACTCATCCATAACACTGCATGGGAGAGTCTACTAAAGTTGCATAGGGGTGAAAGGGTTAAACAAACCAATAAGTCCGCACAATATATATAGTGTGATACAGCAAGGAAGACACCAAATGAAAATACACTAGAATCTGATTAAACCAGAGGCTGTGTTTGCTAAGGGCTATCCCAATGATTAATTAGGCTAAATAAGCAAAACCTTGGGCTTGACCTTCAACCTATATGACCTTAGCATATCATGCGACTTCTCCAAACTGTCGATCTGCGAGTGTACGCAACCGCTCTACGAGGACAATGCCGCTATCCTGCGACATCCGAGGCTACACGCAGTAAACAGGAAAGATGAAACTGTGATTAATGATGCTGATTTGCCCATGATAACCCTGAACACTACCAACTTTTGGCCAAATCAATACCATAAATATATCTATAAGTACACATTTTCTGGGGAAAATCTTCGAAACTGTCATTTGTTGCCAGACCGATCTCTACTAGAAATGCGCATTTATCAAATTGATATGCTTGCATCGTAATTTTAGATGTCTGGCCATTATTACATTTGCTTGATTTAAGTTTACACTATTAACGATAATTGAATATCCAATAAAATTAATTACTTGTGGTAGTCAACCTAACAATCTCCAACATTGAACTATGAAAATTAGGTTTTAATCTGAGGATTTCTTTTATGTCCCGGGGCCGGCAGAAGTTTTATTTTATTCACTGAAGCAGAACTTTAAAAAAAACAAATTGAGGCAAATCGAAACACTAAGCAATATCCATGTGTGGCAGATTTTAATTGTACATAACTATAGGACAATGGCTGCCTTCCAGCATCAGGGAATTTCCCTTTAGGCACAGTGGTAGAGCGTCTGACTAGGAAGTCTTTGGTTGGGGGTTTGGTCCCGGGTGGAAGCACACTACTCTCTTTTTTGTTACACACAAGTATATAAAGTGCATATATATGACTATGTTGGAATACGAAGTCACGTGACGTCAATCGCCATTTTCTGAACCATGCACTTGATTTTGCTCCGGAAGTTTTCATTGTTTTATATGCCCACCTCCACCCCTTACTTCCTCCAATTTTAATTACAATCCAAAAAATGGTTTTTGGCATTTTGCTATATGCTATTAGACTTTGGCATTTGAATAAATGCTCTATTACAACAATAAATGTCTTGTGTTATTTGTGTCATTTTTGGGCAAAAAACAAGCAGAGTTCTCGGGTGTGCTTTAATTTCATGTAGAACACATAAACACGATGTTATAAATACATATATATTGCAGTATCATTTTGAAATGGCGATATATTAATTATTAAAAATAATATTCGACTGATATTTTTTGGGGGTTATATTTTTGATAAATAATTTTATAGAAATAACATTTAATTTGAATTAATGTTCCAAACATTTTCCGCTTGCATGGAGTATAAATGATAACTTCCAAAATCAAAAACAGTCTAACCTGCTCATGCAACAACCACCATTAACCCTTTCAACCCTAGGTAACTTTAATGGACTCTACCATGCATTTATTGGGATGAGTCCATTATGGTCTACAGTAGTGAAAGGGTTAATATACCACCTGTGTTAAGAGACCACTTACGATGATTCAAACTACAGTACATTATTTCATTGTGATTTGAACCTGTATCATGAGACCATCTCCAGTAAAGGCATCAAGAAAAGACTTTGGAACTCTCCAATGCCGCAGCGCGGAAAAGGCATTGTTTGCAAATATGGGATATGCTTAATATGGCTGGATAATTTGTTTTTGTATAAAAACCTTGGAGGGGAAATTGATATTTTCAAAATGGTGGCCATTCCAAACACATTTTCATGGTTTCTGAGCTTATTCTGGAAGTTGGAATGAAAGAAAAATACTCTTTCATGCCCAAGGTTGTAGGATAGGGAAATTCCACCCTCGGGATTTTCAAATTTGGCAAAAACCCTCGGGTGGAATTTTCCTATCCTACACCCCTATACCTTAAATTGTCTTATAATATTCATACATTACCATTAACCATACAAATATCGGAACGGAAAGGTAAGATTGTTATTTTTTTTTAATTTTAATCTGAATTTTTTTGTGAGGTGTCGTTGTGGGGAAATCATTATTTTACATTTACTCAATATAACAAGTCAATATTTATATGTAAACACAGATAAGTTACTTATGACAAATTGGTCCAAATTTCAGGTTTAGGTATTTTCAAACATTTGGCTGTTCTCTTTGAAATTGGTTTATGTAACTTTCTTCCTTACTTCTAGCAATATATGTGTTTTTCAGTAGCATACATGTATGTTTCTTTTTGGTGTATTTTTCAGGGCTCTAATGCAAAGTTCATTCTTAAGAGCAGCATTTATGAGTGTGCAGTGCACCCTAGTAGCATAAACATTCTGAATGTGCTCTTCCCGACCTCATCATGTTTTCACAACAAAACAAATGCTGGGCATTGAGCGAATGTCAAACAACTACATGCAGTCGCAGTAATGAAATGAACTCAGTCCATAGGTTTCTAGTACGTAACTGCTTGCTGTTGTTATATACGGTTTATCGTTAATTCTTCTGCTGTCAGTGCAGACGCCCCAAAGCTTTAGATCTTGTGGAAGGATTATAAACACTTTAACTCATTTACCCCTGCAATTTCATAATGAACTCTTCCAATCTTTGAATTGGAA